AGTGTGTTTTGGTACTTGTGCAACCAAGCCTCAACGTAACGTGCCATTTTTTTTTTTTTTTTTCCTCTCTCTGTCTGTATATCTGAGCAGTGAATGCGCTGTATATGGTGGACACAGTAAAGTCACTCAATTTCTCTGTTACGTTATGTCGTTTTTGATTATTTTGTCTTTAAAGCTGTTTCCACACACTTTTCTCTGACACCCACCATTGCTTTTTCCCATTTCTCAATAATTTAAAAAATTAAAAATGAACTTAACTTTAAGGGGAAAAAAATGGTCTTTTATACAAATGAATCTTTATAGTACTAATAATTTTAAAAGAACCATCTTTAAACTTTTATAAGGAAAAAAAAAAATCCTTAAAACTTATATAAAAACTCACCAAAGACATTTGTTCTATCTTATAATAGTTATTAGAAAATTATTATAAAAAAAAAAAACTAATGTGAATTTTATATAATAACTCAAGATAATTACCATAGTAAATTATCTAAATAACGTAGACCAGTTATCTAATTTTAAATATAAAACGGACATTTTTCAACCTTTATATTCACTCTTATTTGTTGATGTTATGTTTATAATTTACTTAAAATTCGATAATGGCCTTAGAAAGGTTGAAATTTTCATTTTGTCTATATATTCAACTAATATAAGTATAATGAGCATAATAAATATTTAACACATTCGGGTCAAAGTCAAACAGATGAGGTAAGTGTTATTTTTGAAACTATGAGCGCAAAAAACATTCTGTAATATATGTTTTGTGCACAAATAGTCCCTCCTTTTTTAAAATGTACATTTAATTCCATAAAATTAAAAAAAGGTACAAATAAGTCCCCCTACCACTTTTTAATCAAAATTGACATAAAATAAATTTTTAAACCATAATTTACCCTTCTCTTCCTATAATGCCTTTTTCTAAACGGCTCCCGGCCGCCACAATCCTACCTCCAAGATCGGCCCCGGCACTGAAAATCTTACCGAGAAGCTCGTCTACGCCAGGAAAAGCGAAACCCCTGCACTTCTTCTCCAAGATTGGTCCCCTGAATCGTGTTGCCATTTCTACCACTTAAAACATTGTTGTGAACTACGCATCCGTTATCATTGCCTAAACCTCGCCGAAGTATCAGACCACGAAATCCCAATAACACGAATACACCATCGAGAAAACACCGTCGACGTTGAAGATATCGTCAATAAAGAAGATGGGTTCATCGCTTGATTGAGATGTTGGAGCCACCGGAGTCTCCATCTTAGTACATCTAGGCGATGCCTGTGGAGGTGTATGAAGAGATTGACCCACAGCTTGAGGTCACGTCATTCACGAGGCTTTTTATTTACGCCGATCGGTGGTGATGGAAATGGTGTTGTGTCGCTGCTACCATTGCCACCTGTGATGGTCGTGATGCGACAGCCTTCAAAACCGTGCAAGCCAAAGCTGTAAAACAAAAAAATAAAAAATAAAAAATAAAAAAGAACAAACCAGCGTTGATTTCATTTCCTATGATTTATGAGGCACCAAAATTTCCTCCTGCCATTAATTTTCTCTCATTAATTTTCTCTCAATCCATACTAAAACCTAATTAAATTTCTCTTAAGTAAAACTTTAGAGCACCATGGACTTCAATTCTTGCAATTCTTAGGGGTGAAGAGAGAGGAGAGAGAGATGGGTTACCAGGTGTAGGGGTTCTTTTTCGATTAAATAATAAACAAGTATACAGTAGTGATATCAGAAGTACAAATACGAAGGAAACAAAGAAGGTACTCAGTGTAGGAGGAGGAGAAGAAGACCAATTGCCAAGATTAAAATGGTGGTAAGGTAAGAATACAGTTTCTTATGACAGTTTTCCCTTTCTGGATGGATATTCCTTCATGGGATAGTACTATTTATAGGCCTGGATTCCATTGGTAATTATCCAATGGTCCCTTCTGTGCATGGTTCCTCGCAAGTGTTACTCCCAATCCGGATTACGTGGGTAATCCTGGAGGTTTAGGAGTCTGAAAAGTCTAATCCTCTCATCGAGCCTTGCACTACATTGCCATGTCACTTCTCCCTTAATCAAGGGTATTAAATGTTACTTGGTCGCCGGTTGGTCAAGCCTGACGCAACATTAAATGTGATTTTAAGGTTTGCCGTCATAACATGTATAATCCCATCATCATGTTAATTGGGCCTTGCTAAGAGCGAATGCACCTCTTGATTTCTCATCCACCAATCCAATATCCTCATAAGTTTCCCAAATATAGACTTCTTATAGCTGCGAAGACCCTACCTTCGTTTCGTGCTATATGCTAATCTTTGATGGCGAGCCCTCTAGGGCTCCAATCCTTCAAAGTGATGTCATTTGGCGTAATACCAAGGATTGAAGTGCTCAAAGGTTAGTTCCTCAAGGCTGAATGGGTCTGGAGCGATGCCAGGGCTTAAGGTGCTCGAGGGTTGGTCCATCGAGGCTTGATGGGCCTGGAGCGGTGCCAGGGCTTAAGGTGCTCGAGGGTTGGTCCTTCGAGGATTGATAGGCCTAAAACGATGTCAGGGCTTAAGGTGCTCGAGGGTTGGTCCCTCAAGGCTTGATAGGCCTGGAGCGATGCCAGGGCTTAGGGTGCTTGAGGGTCGGTCCCTCGAGGCTTGATGGGCCTAGACTGGTGCCAGGGCTTAGGGTGTTCGAGGGTCGGTCCCTCGAGGCTTGATGGGCCTAGACCGGTGCCAGGGCTTAGGGTGTTCGAGGGTCGGTCCCTCGATGCTTGATGGGCCTAGAGCAATGCCAAGGCTTAGGGTGCTCGAAGTTTGATCCTTCGAGGCTTGATGGGCCTGGAAGCAATGCCAGGGCTTAGGGTGCTTGAAGTTTTGATACTTCAAAGCTTGACGGGCCTAGAGCGATGCCAGGACTTAGGGTGCTCGAAGTTTTGATCCTTCGAGGCTTGATGGGCTTGGAGCTGTGTCAGGGCTTAAGGTGTTCGAGGGTTGGTCTTTCGAGACTTGATGGGCCTGGAACGATGCCAGGGCTTAGGGTGCTCAAAATTTGATCCTTCAAGGCTTGATGGGCCTGAAGCGAAGCCATGACTTAGGGTGCTCGAAAATTGGTCCTTTGAGGCTTTTAACTTTTCAAATCGCCACAGGGGATTTGGTCAACGTCGTATTGACTTGTCAACATGCCATGTCAACTCCCAATAAATGACACCCATACCATGAATGATGAATAAAAAGGAAAAACAAATGTTTGAGGGAAGTCTACAGAATCAGTCCAGTGAAGCTTACACTGCGGCATTGCGGCAGTGAGAGCGATACAGCCAAGGTTTTGCAAGGGTGGAAGAGAGCCATGGTAGAGAGAGTTTGGGAATTGTCTAAAATAGTAATATACCTTGCATTATTTTTTTAATATTATTTTATTTTACTGATAAGGAGGTATTTTAGTATTTTTATGTGATTAGGAAGGTGTTTGCACCAAATTGATAGTATAAAGGGATTTTATGTGATACAGGGACTTTTTTGCACTATTTCTATAATATATGGGTTTTTTTTATACTTAACCCATTCAGGTAATAAATAGGGTAATTTACACAAACCTCCCCTAAGGTTTGCCATAATTACACGGACTTTTCCTCTAGTTTAGGAATTTACTCGAACCTCCCATAATAATGAAAATATCCTACACAGACCACCCTTCTGTTAAAGTTAACGTCAGTCAAAGACGAAATGTGCTGACGTCATATACAAATTTTACGAAAATTTTCATAATACCCTTTTCCCTACCAATTGATATATATATATATATATATATATGGTTTGGGAAGACTTGATTTGCAGATATCCTTACAACGGTTATATTGCAGATATCCTTACAACGGTTATATACATCCTAACCGTTGTAAGGATATCTGCAAATCAAGTCTCCCCAAACCATATATATATTAATTGATATTTCTGGGATTTTTAGATACCTAGTGTCGGTGTCGGTGGTTGTACCATTCCAATTCACGACCCCTGTTATTGATTTGTTCCAATCGTAGTCGCTAGAAAACCTCCACTCATAATTTGCTTTTCTGGCCAATATTGAGGCGGAAGTGATATCGTTCCCTGCATGTACAGTAACTGGTAATGTCAACGGCTGCAAATTTTCTGGCATCTTCTGAACGTAAAAGTCTCTGTTGAAACCTCCGGTCATTTGATCATCAAATTTTCTTTGATACGTCGCTTGCTCTTGAACTTTAATTTGCAACCTCTGCAAATCCTGGATCTACCTCTACATCTCCAAACCAAACAGGAAGTCCATATGGTTCGGCGGTGCCACCGTTGATGGTGGCGTTGACGATTGTACCAGAATGGAATTTGGAGCATCCACAAACTGTTCCCTATTTGACTTCCCCTCATTCGATGATGATGCTGCAATCCACAACCAAGACTATATGTATAAGGCAGATGTGTATAACTGTATGTATAAGGCAGCTGTGACGTCAAACTTAGTCAATAACATATGGGTATTTTAGTAATTTTAGATGGCAACGTGCGAGTATTTTAGTAATTTTGACAGGTCCGTTAGTGTATTTGACATTCCGTCACATATAAAGGAGGTTAGTGTAGGATATTTTCATTATCAAGGGAGGTCTGAGTAAATTCTCAAACCAGAGGGAAGGTTCGTGCAATTAGAGCAAATCACATGAGAGGTTTGTGTAAATTATCCTAATAAATATATCACGAGGTTAGTGTAATTACCCCAAGAACTATTAAAAAAATTCATGAATCGATTTTTTATTTTAATTTTTAATACAAAGTTTCATATTTCATTTTAGGATCCAAGTATTAGTTGTTAATTTTAAAAAGGTTGAGGAATTATTTTCTCTATGAAAGGTGAAGATTCACAATATTCTTGTAGTTTAAAATATTTGAACAAGAAAAACACCAGTGGACCATTGGAGCTCTCCCACCACGTTTAAACGTTCAACCCTCTTCTCTTGATTTATTTATCCATGTGTCTCTCTTACTACTCCATAATAAAAAAATTAGGTGACAATGGATTAGCCAAAGTAGTAACTCCAATTAATATTGTGTTCAGAGTTCTGAAATTTGGAAGTCCTTTTTATCAGTCTTTAGCTGTAAATGCAGTAGCTTAGTGTTTGTGGAGCATACATCGTTCTATGGGGAAGAAAGAAGGTAATTCATGGTTGACCGCCGTGAAAAGAGCCTTCAGATCTCCTACTAAAGAGCCTGATCAAAAGAGGATTAACAGAAGGAGAGACCAACAAGATGAACAAGCTGAAGAAGAAGAAGAAAAGGTTTCACTACATTCTCTTATATATACCACTTTGATTGTTAAAAATATGCTATATATCTATATGTGTATGTGATGATGTGATCTCTCTTCATTGTTTCCCTTACTGGGTAGATCTCATCTCATTATATTGGTGCTCCTTGTTGGGTTTTCTGCAGAAGAGAGAGAAACGAAGATGGCTTTTCCGGAAGCCCCAGAGCCACCACCATGCCTCACCCAAAACCACTAATGATGCAGGGTCTAGTAGTGTTGGAGTGTCGATGGCCAGCGTCTCAGAAGCCGCCGCCGCAGACCAAAGGCATGCCATTGCCGTGGCGGTGGCCACCGCTGAGGCAGCTGTGGCCACAGCTCAGGCGGCCATGGAGGCCGCTCGCCTAACAAGGCCGCCCTCTAATCATGCCAGAGCACACTCTGCAGCCGTTGTTATTCAGACAGCTTTCAGGGGATATCTGGTAACTAATTGAGCAAAATGCACACTTTTAATTATTTGTTACTATTAATAACATTTTCAAAGTCTTTTTCTTTTCCCTCAATTAAAAAGATCACATTTGAAGTACCATTGAAATGATGGTTTTGATTAAAAGGTTTTCTTTTCATAAACCATCTTTTTATTTTATTTATTTATGAAAATGAAGGCAAGAAGAGCTCTTCGTGCACTAAAAGGGCTTGTAAAATTGCAAGCTGTGGTGAGGGGTCACAATGTGCGAAAGCAAGCAAAGATGACACTCAAGTGCATGCAAGCTCTGGTGCGAGTGCAGGCTCGTGTGCTTGACCAACGCATGAGGCAATCACACGATGGCATCCGAAAATCAACAGCGTTTAGTGACACCAATAGCTTATGGGAGTCTCGATTTCTTCAAGATATTTCTGATAGGAAGTCAATGGTAAGAGGGTTCATTTTGATCCAGTAATCAATTTGTTTCGATTCCTCATACCTTTTAGCTTAGACTCTGTTAATTTATACATTGTACTGGCAATTGTATGTCACAGTCAAGAGATGGAAGTAGCATTGCAGATGATTGGGACGAACACCCACACACAGTTGAGGAGGTGAAAGCAGTGCTGCAAAACAAAAAAGAAGCTGCTTTAAAGCGCGAAAAGACCTTATCCCAGGCCTTCTCTCAACAGGTTTCTATTTTTATATGCTTTGCACATCAAGTATTTGGAGTAATTTAGACCAAATATATGGATCCTATAATGACTGCCTTAATCCCATATGAATAAGGTCGGCCTGATTTGACATAAAGACACCGATCCACCTCCTTTTCACATCAGGCCTAAATCATATAGTTTGTTTTCTTGAATTGATGAGAAATTTTTGCAATTCGGTCAAGATATGGAGAACAGGTAGGAATCAAGCAATGGGCAATGAAGATGAGGTTGAAGAAGAACATCAATGGCTTGATCGGTGGATGGCTGAGAAGACATGGGAGAGCAGGGGAAGGGGCAGGGCTTCGACTGATCAAAGAGACAATGTCAAAACTGTCCAAATGGACACTTCACAGCCATTCTCATACTTAACTCCTAATTTCCAAAGATCATATCAACATCAATTTCACAAGCAACACCAAAGACCCAATTCGCCGTCTGTTGCCACTCCTCTCCATAGAGCCCACCAAAATCAATCCATCAACCAGTCCCCCGTCACGCCCTCTCCATCCAAAAGCAGTCCTCTTCAAGTCCGGTCTGCCAGTCCACGCTGCGCAAGAGAAAACAGAAGTTACAACACAGCCCAGACACCAAGAAGGTCTAATTACTACAATAATGGTGGTTTGTACCAACATACAACAAGAGGTGGAACTAGTGGGGCTATTGGTTGTGCAATGCCTAATTACATGGCTGCAACCGAGTCTGCTAAGGCTAGGGTAAGGTCACAGAGTGCTCCGAGGCAGAGGCCATCGACACCAGAGAGGGATAGAGGAGGAGTTGGGTCGGCGAAAAAGCGATTGTCCTACCCAGTCCCAGACACATACAATGCAGGAAACAGATATGGAGGTTATGGATACAATCTGAGGAGTCCAAGTTTTAAGAGTGTTTGTGGAGTGCATTTGGGTATGGAACAACATTCAAACTATTCTTCTTGCTGTACAGACAGCCTTGGTGGTGAGATATCTCCTTCTTCAACAAGTGACCTTAGGAGGTGGTTGAGGTGATCGATGACATATAAAATATATTATGATAGAGAGCTCTAAAGGTTTGTTCTTTTGAATTTCCTCATTAGAATGATAGTGTGTGTGGTAGTCAATTGTTGTATTTCTGCTTGTAGTTCAATCTTTGGTGGAAAAAAAAAACTTGTAGTTCAATCTTTGTTTTGGTGTGTAGTTGAATCTTTTATCCAAAATAATAGTAATTTAAGAAAAGTGTGTAACTGGATTGTTAGGGTTCAGTTTGGGTATTCAGATTTGGGTACAAGGGAAGTCACATGGACTTTGTTTAAAGAGCATTGTCTTTGACCCTTTGATAAAGTATCTTTCTATTTATTTGTACAACTTTTGACCCAACTCAGTCTTTCCAACTCCAGTTCCAAGACGGTTGAACAGATCATATGGTTTGGTTGGACTCTACATGATGATCAACCAACCATTTCTTCTTAAGAATATAGTTTTGAATTTTAGAAATTGATCGATTTCATAGTTTCTTCATGATTTTCGCTTTCTGTTTCTTTTTACATAAGTAAAAAAGAGTGAGAGTGCAAGAGTAGCAAAATCATTTTCTCTTTTTATTTATTTTAGTTCTTTTTACATAAGTAACAAAGAGTGGAAGTGCAAGAACAAAAAAATCTAAATCACACGGAGGGAGAGAGCGTGATGCAAGTGAAAGTATCATGTTGTGTGAGTTAGCTCTTTACCTTTTCCCCTTTATATATAAGCTCTGTTCAATCTGTTTGCTTTCCATTTTATTACATCTCTTTTGATTTTCTTGAATTTTTAGTTTTTACCCATCTCTTTCGATTCCTTGCCAAATCTTCTCACTTCTCTTACATCTCTAAAGGAACACTCAAAGTCTCAAATGATGTGCAATGGTATGTGCCAACTTATTTTCCGAAAAAGAAAAAAAGAGAAAAATTAAAAACGTTTGTGCCAACTTTTATTTCTTCACTGAAATCCAAACTGAGAATTGAATTGATGACCCCAAGTGGTTCCTAGTGTGTCCTTCAGCAACCAGACAGAACCAGTACAAAAAAGCAGTTCTTATCTCATTAATAATTGATATGGTATTATAGAAATTTTTTTTTTTTTTAAATATTGGTGTTGTGACCATCCCAAAAGTAGGACGTGGTTTGTTGTATCGAAGAATTGAAGGATGCAATGTTTTAGTACTTGTTTGTTTTAAATTGGTTATCTACCGATTCCATGCAAATATGCAATAAATAAAAAACACTTAAACTTATATTTTTGCATAAATAACAATCAAAAGCATTTGATTATTTATATCATGGGCGTCGGACCCATAATTATAGGTTCGCAATAATGTCTAGGCCCAACCCAACTCGGGACACTATTGCACACGATGTCACGAATCCACTAACTGACGGACTGGGCCAGCACCCAAAACACAGTAGGGTCGTCTTTAGATTTGAAACATCCAGCCCAAGTTTCTAACTCTTGAGGAAATTTGTATATTATAACTGGATGTCACTTTAACCCCTTCTGCCTCGTCTCTGGGATCATTCTACTTGGATTATAGCCTTATACGCGAGATGGAAAAGAGTTTGAAACCCGCAAAGCTCAAATGCGTCTCCGATTGATAATTAATATATAAATAAATATTATTTTATTAGCTATATTTTTTTTTTGTTTTCTAAATTTTGTATTATAATTTTAAATTAATTATGATTGTTAAATATTTGATTATTTTAAAAAGAAATTCAAAATTTATCATAAATTTATTCAAGTTTGAATTGTTTTTTCTATAACATACTAACTATTGATATGGACTAATAATAAATCAACACATCCTATTTTAATTACCAAATCATAGATGGTATTCAAATCAATATCTCAGATTTGGTAAGTAAATATCTACTCACCATCTTTGATTTAATAATTAAAAATGACATGTCCATTTTTTATTGGTCTATATCAATAGTCAGTATAGATCATCACTACTGGGTGTCAAAGTATTGTTAAAAAAAAAAATGTATATTGGGACACCCATAATTGAGTTTTAAAAATAAAAATTCATTAGTGACACAAGTTTGAGAGAGAGAGAGAGGCCATCTCACATCCCCAATTAGAACTTCTCTATTTTCATAATAACAATCCTAATTATCGTGACAGCATTCTAGTTGTAAATTCCCATGATAACAATCCCTTTTGTTAATATGTTTTGGCTTTTGTAGATGTTAAAAACTTTATATGTTTTTTTAAGTGTTCTGTTTGTCTTGGAGGGGTTTGCTCCTTCTATAGTTGTTTAACTAGTTTTCACTTTTGTTTAGTGTTTTTTCTAGGTGTCTTTTGTTTGCTGTAAGGGTGCATTTGTACAATTATTCATTTTTATAAGGAATTAAAAGGGTATGGACTCTTTGGCTGCTTCTTTTACACATTTTTTTATTTCTGATTATCATAAATTCGACTTTACTAGAAATAGTATATGTGATCCACAACTTATATTATCTTAAATCAATTACCTTTTTTATGTTTTGGTCTGGATTTTGTTGGATATGCACTGGTATTGGATTTCTCCGTCAGCAATATGCCGTAATTTAGAAACTAAATTATTAGTAGCAACAACTTCATAGTTAAAAGAGACAAAGGAGAAGAGGATGATCATAGATCCTCTCCGGTGCATCACTGTACTGGGGATGGATGTGGAAAATGATTTGGATGGGAAGATTCTTCTTACAAATTATAGGCCGGTGCATCACTGTACTGGGGATGGATGTGGAAAATGATTTGGATGGGAAGATTCTTCTTACAAATTATAGGGTTCAGGTCGAGGTTTTCTAAACTCCGTCAATTAAACTTCCCATTCAAACCACGCGAACCAACTCCACTTCTCCTAGTTTGATTTTCTCTTCTTCTTCATTTTTCTCCCCTCTTTCTTCGATAACTCAATTGGATTTTTCAAAAATTGTTCGCCTCTTCGCTTAATTCTGGATGTTTTTAAAATATATTATTTTATCATTTAAAATTCCTAATTCTTATATGTAGAAAATTGTATTATTCCAATGTTCTAAAACGAACGCTCATTCTTTTGTTATGATTGGATTCCATCTATTAATGCTTCTACTCAATTCTATATCATTTTAAATAAAAACTTATTTTTATTGATTGATTGATCGATTGATTTATTTATTTTGCAACAAACACATTTACATCTCGCACATACAATTTTTTTTTGTTTTGTTTTTTTTTTTTTCTTTTTGTCTACACTTAAGACTTGAACCCTTCATTCTATTGGACTAGAGTCACTAGATGTCATTTGAATTTATTTTATTAATAATATTATTATTTTTGTGTCCAAGCTCAATTTGTTTTTTTAGGTAAATCTTTGTCCCACCTCATTTGAAAACTGTCCTTCACTTTGGCATATGAAGAGAAGGGAAACCACAAATTCTTGTAGTAGCTGGCAAACACTAATTCATCATATCTTTTTTTACTTTTACGGAACTAACAAACTGATCAAGTCACGGAAATGCTTATGTGGTACAATCACTTTCACGTAATTGTTAGGGTGTTCAATTTTCTGAATTGATGGGCCTGTAATTGAGTCATTTAATTTTTTAATTTGTTGAAAAAAAAAATAATTAATTCATTATATTTTACAGATCACGAGTCTGTAAAAATTATCTGAAAGATGGCTCCAAGAAGATTCGGTAAACTTTCAAGATGTGAGAAAATTCCCTTAACGATGGCTCCAAGATTCTTTGCCATTGATATATATCTTTTGAGATTCTAAAATAAATGATTAAATAAACTATATGTATAATTAAACTGAAATAAAACCACCCAAAACAAAATCATCTCTTTAGAAAATTGAATAGGTAAAATTACCACCAAGTCTTACAAGATAAATAAGTTCTACCAATTTTTAGTAAGATCAATAATTGTTGCATTTAAATATTTTTTCAATTTAAGTTCGAAAAACACTCAAACTCTCATTTAAAAAAAAAAAAAAAGCCGTACACAAAAGCTTAAAAAATATAAAAGTTTAATAAATGATAAGCTTTTGTGTACGTTTTTTTTTTTTTTTTTTCATTTTATATTCATCATATTTGAATCTAATTTAAATTAAAATAATTATAATTGTTAAATTTTACTGTATTTCTATTTGGTAAGGGTAATAATGGAAGTTTAGAATTTAAATGGAAAAAAATAAGAGTTATTTTGCAAATTGACAGGACTTATTTGTTCTTAAAAAAAATAAGGAGGTAAGTTTTGATAAAATATATATTGTGCATGTGATGTACATCAGATACATAGAGTAATGATACTCACACCGAACACTTGTAATGAATTGTATAACCGAATAATTTTTAATTAATTATTTATACTAACTACAGCTAAGTGGAAGACTTCACATATATCATTGATAAATTAAAATAGTAGATCTAATAATTCATTGCAAGAATCATTTTCCATATGTGTGTGTGTGTGTGAACGCTCGCATATTCATCACAAATGACTGTAATATGCTGAACACAACACACCTAGCACATACTCGTAAGTTTTTTTGGGTCGTGTCAAAAGAAATAATTTATTAAATAAAAATAAATTTTTTTTTTTAATAATCTTATCAAAATAGATAATTTATTCTATATATATATATATATATATATATATATATATATATAATTCTCTTCTTTTCGTATTTTTTTCATATATATATATAATTCTCTTCTTTTCGTATTTTTTTCTTTTTTTTGGGATCTTGACAAAAGAGATAATTTCTTCAATAAATATTTTTTTCTTATCAAAAGACATCATTTTTTTAATGGTTACCTTTTTTTTTTTTTTTTTTGATCCGGTCAAAAGAAACAATTTATTCAACATAAAATTTTTCTTTTTGGTCTCGTAAAAAAAAAAAAAAAAATTCTTGTCAAAAGAGAACTAAAATATTAAAGATTAGAGATAAAAAAAAGAAATCTAAAAGGACAGTTGTGTTATTTAAAAAGTAATAAATATTTATTTGTAAAGTTATGGTTGAAATTGTTATTTCATTTAAAATTATAGTGTAAATATTAAAAAATAGAGTACTAATATCGCCTTATTTAATTTATTATATTTTAAAGGTCACGACTCTATAAAAATTCTCTTTCCAAGAAGATTCGATAAACTTTCAAGACGTGAGAAAATTTCCTGAATGATGATGGCTCCAAGATTATTTGCCATCCATTATCTTTTGAGATTCTAAAGTAAATGATTAAAGAAACTATATGTATAATTAAACTGAAATAAAAGCACCCAAAACCAAAATATCTCTTTAAAAAATCCGATAGGTAAAATTACCACCAAGTCTTACAAGATAAATAAGTTCTACCAATTTTTAGTAAGAACAATAATTGTTGCATTTGAATATTTTTTCAATTTAAGTTCAAAAAACACTCAAACTTTCATTTAAACTCTTACCAAATTAGATATAATATTTATATATACTAAAAAAAAAAGTTATCATTTATTAAACTTTTATATTTTTTAAGCTTTTGTGTACCTTTTTTTATTTTTTTTACTTTTTCATTTTATATTCATCATATTTGAATCTAATTTAAATTAAAATAATTATAATTGCTAAATTTTACTGTATTTCTATTTGGTAAGGGTAATAATGGAAGTTTAGAATTGCAAATTGATAGGACTTATTTGTTCTTAAAAAAAATAAAATAAGGAGATAAGTTTTGACAAAAATATATATGGTATCTGTGCTGTGCACCGGATACATAGGGCAGTGATAGTTACGAATATTTGTAATAAATTATATAACCGAATAATTTTTAATTGATTATTTATAACAAATACAATTAAGTGGAGAATTTCACGTGTATAATTGATAAATTAAAATAATAAATCTAACAACCCAATGTAACTATTCAATGAGTCATTATACATATATATATATATATATATATATATATATGCGCCTGCATATTCATCACAAAAAACTGTAATATGTCACACACTTAACACGCACTCGTAAGTTTTGATCATTTACCCAAAATAATATGCCGACCTAACACATATTCGTAAATTTGATCATTAATCCAAAATAATATGACGAACACCTAACACGTACTCGTAAGTTTTGATCATTTACCGAAAATAATATGCTTAGTTGCCCTATTTTATCAAGCATATAATCATGTCCTCGTGTTGAGGAGTGTCGGTATCCTCAAGCAAGGAAAATAATTCATCCGTCGTCATGATTGTCCACATGGGTCACGTATATTAATTAATCTTTGAAAATTAAAAAGTGGTGTCGGTTGAGAATTCATTTACGTAATAAAAGTTTTTTGGACCGTTTTGGATCACGAAATGTTATTTTTTATTTCATATACGATTTTGTTTTCCATCCTAGATTACAATATATATATATATAATATAATAACCTGAAAATGGCAATTGTAGTAAAATATTGCGCAACAGTTTAATTTATATAATGTCGTTTTTTTACTCTTGAAATTTTCATTTGTACTTGTATGATACCTATGAACATTTTTTTCTCCATTTTGATTCTATTATAAAAAATAAAATAAAATAAAAAAAAAAAAAACTATACATTATCTATCCCGTAAAAAAATCTGAAATTCTATTTCAGAGAGACAAAGTAAGGATTGAATTTCAGTAATTAAATATTCATATACTGTCACAATTCACAAAAATTTATCATTCGAAAGTCCAGCAGGGAGATTGATCTTTTCATATAAATATATATATATACAAGGGCAGATTGAGGAGTAGGTTTTGATGGGCTCAAACTCACAAAATAAAAAAATAAAAAATAAAAAATAATCAATTACTATAGTCAATTTAGCCTAATAAATAAAAATTATTATTAGTATTAACCCACCCAAATAGTAGCCTGATAATTTTTGAATTCGTCTTTGTATATATATAATATATATTTGAAAAAAAAACAGATGGGTAAATAATGGAATAAAAAGAGAGGAAAAGAAAGTTAAAATTATTTTTGAAGGGATTCAAAAAAATTTGAATAAGAAGAACAAATAAGCAAAGAGAGGACGAATTAGAGATCTTTTTAGGACGGATTGTAAAAAATTATGCGTTTTGTTAGTTGGGGAAATATAAAAATCATATAGCATCTGTTTCAAGTGTTGGCCATCCTCGATGTGGTTATTGTAAAAGATATAAAGGGTCAAGCGTATTAAATTTCCCATGCCTACAATGGAGGCCTTCAATATATTCATTAAAGTTTTGATGACTATTTGAACTAACAAATATAAATCGATCTTAGGTTTTGTTTGGATATATAAAAGAGAAAAAAAAAAAAAAATATATATATATATATATATATATATATATAGTATTAATTATGAGAGAAAAGAAAAGAAAAGAATAAAAAAGGAGAAATTATTTATGTTTGAATAGATAAAAAAAAATGAAATGATAGTATTCTTATTTGGATATGATAGAGGAGAGAAAAAAAGATAAATAATATTACGTCCTTTAAAATAAATGGGATATAAATAGAATAATAATTTTCACTTTTTAATTGTTAAGCAGTTTGGAAATTATGAAAATCTTACTAAAAAACTATCATTTCTCACTATATATATTCACATTTTCAGAGAGATAGAAAATGAGAGATAAAAATGGATAGTTATCCCTAGCTCCCTATCTCTCCATATCCTTGCTTTTCTCTTATTTTAAACAATCCAAACACAATTTACACTAATTTTTTTTTTTTTATTTTATTTTTCTCTCACTGTTTGTCCAAATCTCTCAATCCAAACATACACTTAGACCCCTTTTGGCATGCGTTTTTGTTTATGATGTTTTTATTTTTGGACTACTATAGTGTCGATTTTGGCAACAAAAGTATATTTGGTATAGTATTGTTTTATTTTACACAGTGTTAAAACACTTCGTGAATAGTGAATCAAAACTAAAACATCAAAAAATTATTTTTTCTTATTTTGATAATTGTTTATAACCCAAAACCATAATTGTACATGTTTCTATTTTTGATATTTCTACAACGAAATATCGGTCCCAAACATACTTTTAAAATACTTCTAAAATAAAAACACTAGCCATTTAAAACACTCCTAAAATAAAAACACTAGCCAAAAACAAACCGCTTAAAATAAAACACTGGCCAAACCAACCTTATTGTCTTTTGTTACGTTAAAGTGGAGAGGATATAATTTTTTGATTCTTGCTTTTATTCCACTGCATTCTTATTTACTACTCCTACGTACTCAGTATTTACTAGTTCTAAATAGCCGGACCATTATTAATTATTCACAGCTACTTCAAATTCATTATCTTCCATCTCATTTAAATTAATGTGTACGTCACGCTGTCACATCGAAGAGACTATGCACTGCTCTCTCTCTCTCTCTACACCCTACACCCCTTAGACTCCAACAGCTGGTTTAACTTAAATGTCGGAACATCTTGACTTTAAAGCTTGTCAATAGGAGTACTAAATAATTAGGTTCCTTACCCCATCTAATTACAGAGAAACTCTTCTACGGGACACAATACTAATATCTATATATACATATACATATAGAGAGGTGTGCATTATTACAAACATACATTATATATATATATATCAACTTTGTCAATCATGGTTGTGTTAGGCTCGCAAAAGGTTAAGATCTTTGTGTCACTTTTTATATCACAGTACATGTTTGTATTGATGATATGTATGGTGAATTGTAGTCCTCCAGAGGACCCCATTAAGTGTTCGTCCAACAATTCCAACTGCACCATCACAAACTCGTACGGTGCATTCCCGGATCGGAGCGTGTGCCGAGCAGCTGATGTTGCCTACCCCACCACAGAGGAAGAGCTAATCTCGACGGTGGCAATGGCGACAATGGAGAGAAGGAAAATCAAAGTGGCCACTCGTTTCTCTCACAGCATTCCTAAGCTGGTTTGTCCTGACGGTGACAATGGACTTCTCATAAGCACGAAGTATTTAAACCACACATTAAATGTTGATCAAGACAATATGACTATGAGTGTTGAGAGTGGCGTGACATTGAGGCAACTTATTAATGAGGCAGCCAAAGCTGGGCTAGCACTGCCATATGCGCCATACTGGTGGGGCTTGACCATTGGTGGCCTAATGGGCACCGGCGCGCACGGTAGTTCGCTGTGGGGGACGGGGAGTTCGGTTCATGACTACGTGGTTCAACTTCGGATTATCACTCCGGCGGGACCTGAAGAGGGATATGCCAAAGTCTGGACCCTGGACAATGGTGACCCTAACCTGAATGCAGCAAGGGTTTCACTTGGCGTGCTTGGAGTTATTTCACAGGTATGATTAATTTTATTTAATCACTCAACCTTGGGTTTTAATTTTTATTCATTATGATCGATCAGATCAGCACACGAGCAAAAAAGGAAATGGTTTGCATATAATGTTCTAAAATTTTGATCAGATGTAAAGTCCGGCCAATTAGTGGTTTTGGAAATCCATCATTGTTTTTTAACGGGTCGGCTGAATTTTTAATGGTTTTCTATTCACCTATTATATTTAAATTATAGTAGTTTTGCCTCGAGATAATTTGAATAGTCACACAATCTTCTTACACATTTACAAGTCTTCGTTGTATTTGTTTACACATTACACATTTACTATAATTTTTCAGATAAGATATTTGCTAGAGGGGTCATAATATTGTGGTAAATTTTTATTTTTATATTTTTGTTTGTTTTTGGTTAGGAAAGTGGTGATAAATTGTTGGCATGCCAAAAGAAAGTGAATGGAAGGAGTCAACAGATCCTTTTCAATGGATGCCAAGATATAATGCGCATTGTTGTGCAAGAAACTGTTTTCGCATCAAATATTGGGTCAATTGGATTATATTGAACGGCAAAATTACTTCTACTCTTAAAATTTTCTAAAATAACAAAATCACTTTCTTCTACAAAAAAAAGACCTACTGCCACAAAAAGAAAGTTACCCAAAACATTAGTAATCCTCTGCCAACAAGATTTTTTTTTTTTTTTAAGAAAAAAAAAAAAAAAACACGAAAATTCTGATTGCATAAAGGAGAGAGGTTCTAAAAATATGAATTTCCTTTTTCAAGACTAGTAATTGAGATGCATAGCTATTCCTCTCTCATGAAGTTGGAATCTGTAGAAATTATTACTCTAAATGCAATATTAACAACATTATGGGGTTTGGGGTTTCCTTCGCGTCTTCAATGTTGTCTTTAAATTCACCATGCTTGGTGTTCAATTAATGAATAAGATTGCTAGTACATACCAGACACCTATAATAGAAAAAATTCATATTCTACTCAATCAAATTATAGTGTTCAATAGTCCATGGATTATCATGATCATAACTTATAATGAACCAAATTAACCAACCATCCTCATCAATGTAGGCAGTTGGAATTCATAAATATAAAATGTAACAATTTAGGCATGGTCACGTGTAGTGAAATTGTTATTACATTTTTAGGCACATTCATTTATTTTGTTGCATTATTGAGCACGTTATATGCATTGTTGTACACTGAGAATATATTAAAATTAAAAACGTGCAGGTCACTCTGAGAATGCAACCCTTGTTCAAGCGAGCCGTCACCTTCTTAGAGAGGAATGATTCGGACTTGGGAGATCAAGCGGTTAGCTTTGGTCACCAACATGAGTTTGCAGACCTAACATGGTATCCAAGTCAACGAAAGGTGGTATACCGGATTGATGATCGGGTCACATCTAATGCATCCGGTAATGGTCTAAATGACTTCACCGGATTTCGCTCCACACTTTCACTTGTTTTGAAAACCATAAGATATACAGGTCAATTTTACTTTTAACTAATTCTATTTCTTTGATCAGTTTCTAGAATTTATATATATATATATATATATATATATTGAACTAACAACTATGATCTTTGGTTGTTGATATTGTTTATCAGAGGAAAATCAAGAATCTAATGGTGATGCTGATGGGAAATGCATCAATGCAAAGCTTAATCTATTTACACTCAAGATCAGCGCGTATGGGTTAACAAATGATGGTACTTCACCTCAAACTAAGTATTGTAAAAAAAAAACAGCTCGCTCAGAGAAGTTAAATTAAATAAATGCAAGTTTAAAAGTTAATCCTTATGTGAAATTGGTTAATCCTTATATGCAAGTATGGCGTGGTCATATTAATTAGTGTATCATTTCTTTTTACAGTAATTACTTGAACCAGTTTTTACTTCAAGTTACTTGCTAATCTAAAAACAAAAATGTTTGATAAAATACTATATGATTATGGGATGTTATAGAACCAAATCCTCTTGATGTAGTTGTTTGTAGATTAATTATAGCACATTATTATAAAATCATGATCGTCCAGATAACTAGACCTAAATTGGCCGAGTTGTCTCAAATATTTTGGAGCTTTTGTTACTTTCTTTGTATCTTTTTATGATGGCCAAGTTGTGTGCATATATATATATATATATATATATATATACTGACCTTTTGTGTTTTAAACACAGGTATTGCCTTTACAGGCTACCCTGTAGTTGGATATCAAAATCGGCTCCAAGCCTCAGGAGGCTGCCTTGATAGCTTAAAGGATTCAATGATCACAGCATGCCCTTGGGACCATCGAGTTGACGGACTCTTCTTTCACCAAACTACATTCAGCATTGGCTTGTCCAAAGTCAAGAGCTTCATTCAAGATGTCCAAAACCTAATTCAATTAGAGCCTAAATCCATGTGTGGCGCAGAACTCTACAATGGATTCCTCATGCGCTATGTCAAGACTTCAACTGCTTACTTAAGCAAACAAGAAGATGCACTTGACTTTGACATCACATACTACAGAAGCAAAAACCCGATGACCCCTAGGCTCTACGAAGACATACTTGAAGAGATAGAGCAGCTCGCGATGGTCAAGTATGGAGGGTTGCCACATTGGGGGAAGAATCGAAATGTGGCCTTTGATGGAGTGATCAAGAAATACAAAAATGCCCAAAAATTCTTCAAGGTTAAGAAGATGTATGATCCATTAGGGCTCTTCTCCAGTGAGTGGACAGACCAAGTTCTTGGGTTGAAAGATGGGGTGACCATTGTGAAAGAAGGTTGTGCTCTGGAAGGGTTGTGCGTATGCTCAGAAGACATTCATTGTGCCCCAAACAAGGGTTATGTTTGTCGACCAGGAAAAATTTACAAGGATGCAAGGGTTTGTACTCGTTTAAAATCAACTGCATTTTAGTAACAATAACTTAGCCCTTGTTCAATTTAAATGTTATACCAACACTTACAAAATCATTGTGTGACAATACTTTCTACTAGTCGTTTTTTTAAGAAGCAAATCTTACTAGCAAAACAGAAAATTTAGGATATATTTATTTTAAGATACGAACATTTGTTTTATAAACTATGTTGTACAATTTATAAAATATTTTAGCACGTCTATATGAACGTTGATTTGCTTATTATGTCATGAGCCCAAACTGTTCAAGCCCAATTAAACTTTAAACTCGGAAACACTCTTTCGTAAATTGCTGAGGCCCATAGGATTGAAGTTTAGGATTGAACTACACTAAACATATCTATACTATTATTAAATATGCAAAGTGTTTCAGTGTTTTAGTATTTCAGTATTTATTTATTAATTGATATAAATTCTATAACACTCAAAATTACCTAATAAAATTTAAATTAACAAAATATAAAAAGATTTAATTCAAATTACAAAGTCCCACGTCGGTTTTAAATAAAAAGAATTACATGAAAGCCTCTTATAAAGGTATAGAGCTAAAGAAATAATAATCACACCTTCTCGGCCTTTTTGCTAAGATCAAGTTTAGTACTAAATTTTTTTGGGTTAGCCTTTTGGCTAACCTTTCTTGGTCTTTTGGCTAAGATCAAATGTAGTACTACTTTCTCGGTCTTTGTGCAAGGAGTTTCAGTTTTTATTTATTAATTGATATAAATTCTATAAAACTCAAAATTATCTAATAAAATTCAAATTAACAAAATATAAAAAGAGTTTAATTCCCAATAAAGAACTCTCATTAAAAATTACCTAATAAAATCATGCAAATTGTTTCAGTATTTCAGTATTTATTTATCTATATAAAAAAATATTTTTTAATTGATATAAAAATAGTTTTTGTAAAAATAATTAAAATAAAACTCTAAAAATTACTTAATAAAATCAATCACATTCTATATAAAACTCTAATTTTTAGTTCAATATAAAAAGAATAGTTATTTTTTTAATCGATAATTATCACAATATAATCAGCCCGGCCCAGTTATGATTATGTAATTATCAGAAAAGACGCATGTCATCATCCTATTAATCCAACAAGCCTATAAATAGAGGCATGGAGAAAGGAGGAAGGGGTATAAAAATTGAGAATTCTAGAAATTCAAAATTTCAGAGTAAAATACAGAAACTCTGCCAAAGAGTTTTAGTATTTATTTGTTTATATAAAAAAAATATTTATTAATTGATAAAAAAATAGTTTTTATCTATACTATTATTAGATGTGCAAAGAGTTTCAGTATTTAAGTACAAATTAACTATTTATCTATTTATTATGAGTTTTTAATAAAAGTAAATCTAATTAGACAACAATTATTAAAATCAAAAATATTTATTAATTGAAAATTACCTAATAAAATCATGCAAAGTGTTTCTGTATTTTAGTATTTATTTATTTATATAGAAAAATATTTATTAATTGATATAAAAATAGTTTTTATAAAAATAGTTTCTATAATACTCTAAAAATTACCTAATAAAATCAATTACATTCTATATAAAACAGTCTTATTAGGTTTCTAAATCCAACCAACAGTTTGAACGAGAAGTCCACGTTCACAAAGACCATGATGCTTACGCTTTTTTCTTTTTTTCCTTTTTTAATATAACATTGAAAATTTTAGATGTGACAAAACATTCTACCAATCCTGAACTAAAAAAGTAACGAAGACTGTCTTTTTAATATTTCTGTTCGTCTGTTGTATTTCTTTTCTAATGTCCTAAATAGTAATCCCATAAATTTTATGAGTTCAAGTTAATCTAATAATCTCTGTGCATTATTTTCATTTGGATTATTTCTTTTCAAATGTTCTATAAACTGCCATAATTTTTGAACTCAAATTACTTCTTATGTTTTTTCTTACATAAGGTACATTACTATTGTTTTCAAGAATTAATATTCTTCACCTTTTGAGATTCTGAGTTTTCACCTTTTGAGATTTGAGTTATATTTGTGTGTGAATCTGATTCCAAAGGAAGCATAGTAATACTTTAATGATTCATATTATTACATGTCCGTGATTAATTAGGAGATGTCTATACGCATTAAAAATTTCCTGCATAGAGATTTTGTTCGTATATCTATGAGTCAACATCCACTTCTATTGGTCTACAAATTTGACCAAACGGGATATTGATTTCCCAGCTTGATTCACTGCCTAAATTGGAAGGAAAATGGTAGATCAGAAAGCCCTTTGAGTCCTCCCTCTTAATACTTAGTTTACCGTATTCTCAAATTCTTATGAGTTATTATAGAAGTGATAAAATTTAAGTCACACATAGTAAAATAAGGAACAAGAAAGTACGCAAAATACGAGAGTAGGAACACGTTTAGCACCTATTTAAAAAAAATGTGTGACTTAAATTTGTCATATCTCTCTCACAATTGTTTTCATATTCAAAATGTAATCGTATACTGATTATATATATGATAATATAGGTTTAATCTTTCACTTCCCATGCATCAAATTGTCTTATTTAAAAGCTAAGTGCAATGCCTCTTCTGACTAAGGACAACGACCTTTGGTTTATATAATGTGATGGTTGTATTGCAAATTCACTTTTCTCATTTTAGTATCAATAAAACCAAATTTTTTTTTTTTACTGTTTTAAATTTCTTAAACGAACATTATCAAAAAAAATCTATATCTATATATAAATAAAGATTTAAAAATTGGTGAATAAAAAATAAGATAAATAGTTATATATATATACTATTATTAAATGTACAAAGTGTTTCAATATTTCAGTATTTATTTATTAATTAATATAAATTTTTTTGGGTCGGCCTTTTGGCTAACTTTTCTCGGTCTTTTGGTTAAGATCGAGTGTAGTACTACTTTCTCGACCTTTGTGCAAAGAGTTTCAGTATTTATTAAATGTGCAAAGTGTTTCAGTATTTCAGTATTTATTTATTAATTGATATATATTCTATAACATTCAGAATTACCTAATAAAATTAAAATTAATTCAAATTAACAAAATATAAAAAGAGTTTAATTCAATTTACAAAGTTCCACATTGATTTTAAATAAAAAGGATTACATGAAAGCCTCTTATAAAACTATAGAGCTAAAGAAATAATAATCACACCTTCTCGGCCTTTTGGTTAAGATCAAGTGTAATACTAAATTTTTTTGGGTAGGCCTTTTGGCTAAGATCAAGTGTAGTACTACTTTCTCGGCCTTTGTGTATTAATTGATATATAAAACAAAATAATTTTTCTAAAACTCTACCATAAATTAGCTTTTATTATGAGTTTTTTAGTAAAATTAAATCTAATTAGACAAGGATATATTTAAAGAAAATAAAATAATTTCTATAAAACTCTATCACAAATTACCTATTTTATTTTCAATAAAACTATATCACACCAGACAAAGATATATTTAAAGAATTTCTATAAAACTCTAACACAAATTACCTATTTATCTACTTATTAGGAGTTTTATAATAAAAGGAAATCTAATTAGACAAGTATTGTTAACATAAAAATTTATTTATTAATTGATATAAAAGGAGGTTTTAAAAGAGTTTCTATAAAACTCTAACACAACTTACCTATTTATCTATTTATAATGAGTTTTTTTAATAAAAGTATATCTAATTAGAGAAGAATTACTAAAATAAAAAATATCTATTAATTGAAAATTACCTAATAAAATCATGCAAAGTGTTTCAGTATTAATTGAAATTGATAATTCTAGAAATCCAAAATTTCAGAGTAAAATATAGAAACTAAGTATTTATTTATTTATACACAAAAATATTTACTATTTGATATAAAAAGGGATTTTATCTACACTATTATTAGATGTGCATAGAGTTTCAGTATTTAAGTACAAATTACATATTAATATAAAAAATTATTTATTAATTGATATAAAAAGAGGTTTTAAAATAGTTTCTTTAAAACTCAACCACAAATTACTTATTTATCTATTGATTATGAGTTTTTTTTAATAAAAGTAAATCTAATTAGACAATAATTATTATAATAAAAAATATTTATCAATTAAAAATTACCTAATAAAATAATGTAACGTGTTTCAGTATTTCAGTAATTATTTATTTAAATAAAAAAATATTTATCAATTGATATAACAATAGTTTTTGTAAAAATAGTTTCTATAAAATTCTAAAAATTATCTAATAAAATCAATCACATTCTATATAAATCTCATGCCAGTTATGATTATGTAATTATTAGAAAAGGACACATGTCATCATCCTACTAATCCAAGAAGCCTATAAATAAAGGCATGGAGGAAGGAGAAAAGGGTACAGAAATTGAAAATTCTAAAAATCCAGAATTCTAGAGTAAAATACAGAAACTCTCCAAAGAATTTCAGTATTTTAATATTTATTTATTTATATATAAAAATATTTATTAATTGATATAAAAAGAGTTTTTATCTATACTATTATTAAATGTGTAAAGAGTTTCAGTATTTAAGTATTTATTTATTTATATAAAAAAATATTTAAAAAACTAAAATCTAGATAATAAAATTTAAATTAACCTATTTATCTATTTATTATTATGAATTTTTTAATAAAAGAAAATCTAATTGGACAATAATTATTAATATAAAAAAAATATTTATAAATTGATATATAAAACAAAATAATTTTTGTAAAACTCTAACACAAATTAGCTTTTTTTATGAGATTCTTAATAAAATTAAATCTAATTAGACAATGATATATTTAAAGAAAATAAAATAATTTCTATAAAAATCTATCACAAATTACCTATTTTATTTTCAATAAAACTCTATCGCACTAGGCAAAGATATATTTAAAGAGTTTCTATAAGACTCTAACACAAATTACTTATTTATCTATTTATTATGAATTTTTTAACAAAAGACAATCTAATTAGACAAGTATTATTAATATTAAAAATTATTTATTAATTGATATAAAAAGAGGTTTTAAAAGAGTTTCTATAAATCTCTAATACAAATTACCTATTTATCTATTTATTATGAATTTTTTTTAATAAAAGTAAATCTAATTAGACAAGAATTATTAAAATAAAAAATATTTATTAATTACAAAATTACCTAATAATATCAATTACATTCTATATAAAGCTCTTATTTTTAGTTCAATATAAAAAGAATAATTA